CCTCATATCCACTATTATTCCCAATTAAATCTCGTGAGAATTTTTCTTATATGAGAATTTTCCTTATGTGAGAACACTTTTTATATTCTAAATTTTTACTCGTATGTTCTAAATTTTAAATCTGATATTCTAAACTTTTTCCCTGGTGTTCTAAATTAAAATAAGATGTTCTAAATTAATACTCACATGTTCTAAACCATAAATTAGTTAAGTTAGATGTTATAAATTTCGAATGACTTATTCCGAAATTTTAACTTTTATGTTCTAAATTTTAAAACGTGCATGTGTTTTAAGATTTTTAGTTATATGTTCAAAATTCGAAAGCATATGTTCCAATTTTTACTCACATGTTCTATATTTTAAATTATATGTTCAATATTTTTACTCCCATTTTCTATATTTTTATACCAAGTGTTCTAAAATTTTTATTCACATGTTCTAAATTTCATAAAGCAATTTTTTAAAATTTTTATTCACATGTTCTAATTCTTGAATTAGATGTTCTATATTATTGCTCACACACATGTTCAAAATTATTAGTCATATGTTCTAAACACACCATTAGCATCAACTTGAGCATGTACCTCATCATCATGAACAAAAGAGGAAATAGTGTTGAAATCATGTGTTTTAGGTTCACTTAATGGATCATGTAACAAATCATGGGAATTCATGCTAATATTAGAAGTATCAACACATTGCATATCAATAATAAAATCATGATTACCCTTATTATAGACATCCCAAGCAAACCAAACATAAAAATCCCAAGCATCATCAATTGATAATGCTCTAAATTCACCATTATGCATGCATTCAACTTCATCCCTAGTTTGCTCATTCAAACCAAAATAACAAATCTCACAAGCCTCCCAAAGACTACAACAATCAAAATCCAAATATCCCACAAGTCTATTGAAATATTCACAAAAAGGCTCATTGTCATATTGAGGAAACGAGTTACTTGCCATTTTTTTTTACAAAAACAAGCAAAAATTAAAAAAAAATAAAATAAAAAGAAAAGTATACACAAAGACCTAGACTCAAGCAATCAAAAACAATCAAGCATTGACACCGCTCCCCGGCAACGGCGCCATTTTGATGGGCGTTGGAATGGTCGTACATTCCACACTCAATCAAACACATTTATTAACAAACACCTTACAAACCAAGCATAATGACAAGTAAGAGTTCAGTCCACAAGGAACGGGATATGATTGCCAAAGATCTTTACACTTAAGCTAACTCGAAGTCAATTGATGAATTGGGGTTCGTCAAGAAGACAAACAAACTATGGTTCTAAATCAATGAATTAAAGATACTAGGGAATGAGATCCACTCAACCAAGGCAAATAGGTAAACGGGGAGTAAAATAGACAAGATATAGCAAGGACTATATGTAAAATCAACCTCATGCAATTAGAAAACAACTCACACTACTAAACTTAGATTCCTCATTAGTTTAGCAATAGACGATACATAATCAAATTACAATAAGTAATGACGTACTCAATTTACACTTCCATGTCAAATTAGGCATATCATACTATCAAGCTCCTTAGTCAAGGGTAGCTAAACCTATCATGAGGAACTAACAAGCAATCTCATATAATCAATTTAATTGCAATTCAAACATCAATGCTTCTCCCACATTTGCATAGTTAACCCAAAAGGTCGAGCTTCACCCAACCCCTAGCAAGAAGACTACTCACAACTCATGTTTATCAACATGCAATCAAGAATTAGGGTTCTAAATACTTCAATAATTGGGGAAAAGTGGTTAACAATTGAAATAACTATCATCCAATAACAAATTACCAAGAACTAGGAAGATTTAAATAACATGCAAATACCAAATAAAATCTGAAATTAAAAGGAAGAAGGTTGGAGAAATTACTAATTGAAGCTTCAAATGTTGAATACAAATTGCCAAACTTTGAGAATAATTCTTGAATTTCACTAATACAATGATTTGATTTGATGAAAACTAAGCTAAATTAATCCTAAGGAATGTTTCAAACTAAGGGAGGTTTCTGAAAACTAGGCTACTGTCCTGCTTCTCCCGTCCTTTTAAACGATCACAAAAGGACCTTAAATAGAGATCGGGAAAAGGTCCGACCGAACTCTGGGTAAGTTCGGTCGGACTCAGGGTAGGTTCGGTCGAACCCTGTGTAGGTTCGGTCGAACCTCCCTGATCCTTGTTTGGTCGAACTTTTGAGGTTCGACCTCTCCTGCAAAATTGCTGAAAACAGGTTTGACACTGCCTTCACTGCACCCTGGAGGTTCGGTCGAACTTTTGAAAAGTTTGACCACACCAAGGTTCGACCGGACCTTCCAGAGGTTCGGCCACACCTCCTCTTGCACTTCCTTTTCTTGCTTCCTCTCCTTCCCTTTTGCTCCTCTTGCCTTTGTCCATGGCTTCCATGCTTGGCCAAGGGGCCTCCCACCGTGCATAGGACCGTCACGGTACCTGCAGAAGATACCAAAGTTCACGAGAGCATGGGGATGATAAAATAATGCATAAAGATTATCAAAATAAGCATTACTTTTCATCAACACAAAAAGAAGCCATAAGAGGACAATGAGGTGAAAACCTAAGAAAAATAAGAGGAAAAAGACCTAAATACTACCCCTAAGAGTGACATAAATGTCACTCATCACCCTCCCCTATATATATATATTATTCACTTTTTTGCATGAACCAACAATAATTATAACTGTTTGTGTTCCATGAATCTTTTTTATAAATCTTGTATGTACGATTGTAGTATTTTATTTTTGTACCCTTAGACCAAGGCTGGAAATTAGCTGAGAAGTAATTATATTCTATTTTTATTTTCTCTGTTTGGTTCCCTTTCATTGATTTTATTCTTTTTATTTATTCTTTTTATTTATAAATACTAATAAACGTTTATTGTTACTAACTTTGCTAAAATAATTTGACACACTTCTAGTTGGCGCTCTTGTTAGATTTATAATCTAGTCAAATTTCTTCTCCTTACATTGAGTTGTAATAGTAAAACAATTAAAATAAAAGCAAATTATATATCATTGGCAACAAAATTTTTACGCCAAAAATTGTTGGTGCATGGTAAGACTTTTATTACTCCGTAAGGTAGGATAGGATTGCATTATTACAGTTCACGATGACAACAAAATTGACGGGGCGCAAATATTGTGTTTGATTTTCACCACTTTTGGTATAGGACAGATATTTTTAGTTCCTACCACCTATCCAATTTAATGATCACGATTAAAAATAAACCTCATCATTTTAACCATTAATCTAAATTAGAACAACACATTAAAACTTTCAAACTACTACCTTAGCTTTCTAAACCGTTGAACATAATAAAAAAAATATATAATTTTTTTTTTTTGTTGATACCTTAAATATCTCACCAACTTTTCCTAATTAAATTGCTTGAAAAGTAACCTAATAAACTTTTATCACCTTTAATAATAATGCAACCAATATTCATCTTATCAATTTTGTCCCTCTTATTTGCTTTCATCTATCAAGTTCAATGTAGATCTTTATCCGAAACAATATCTCCAAGTTCACCACCAACATCATTAGAAACAACCGCCTTTGTTATCCCTCCATCACCGTCACCATCCATTGCCGCGGCCCCTTATAATGATCCCTCGTACGTTCTCTCACCAAGTTCCGCCCCAATCGCCATGCAAGACGCCGATGGGGATCCAATTGATCTCCCCATCACCTTCAACCCCTTTGACCTCAACCATGATCAACAAGAAGAATCATTAACCACCACCAACACGGCGGTTAATAACCCGGACGTAAAGAAAACTTGTGATGCCACGGATAATCCTGACCTTTGCATTTCCTCCTTAAAGCCATTCCTAATGCATAATAACATAATGGTGTTAAAAAAACGGACACGTTCTCTTTACTTGGGATGCAAGTTAAAGCGACGCAACAAGCCACGCAACTTGCCCTAGCCTTGAGTACTAAAAAATTAGGGCAAACCGATAATGATATGGATGTCCTTAGAGATTGCAAGGAGATGTACAATAATGCTTTGGATAATTTAGATAAGGTTGTAAAAGCACTTGAATCCAAAGATATTGGTACTATTAATAGTATGTTAAGCGCCACGATTTCGGATTTTGGTACGTGTGATGATGGTGTACAAGAAAGTGGTGGTACGTCTCCCTTGGTTGGTTATGGAAATAAATTGACTGAATTGGTTAGTAATTGTCTTGCCACAGTTTCTCTTATTAAGGATAATGGTGCGACGACATGATATTGAACACCATCTGGTTCCTCTTCGGTTTCTTTTAATTATCGGAATAATTTTTACTCTCAATACGACATTAAATTTAAGGATGAAGAAAATTATACGGGGTGTTTGGAATTTTTTTTTCCTAAATGAGATGTTGTGTTTGAAGATGAGAATTGAAGGAAAGAATTGGGGAGAATCCTGTTTCAAATTATGTCCCCTGTATTTTATACTCGGTCTAATCAATGATTGAAGTATAATTTTAGTAAGGTAAAGATTCATAGTGTCAATTTTTTCTTTGTTATATGTATTTCTATAAGGATTAGCTTCACGCACTTGGTCCTGCGACCCTTGCCTTAATGATAGCCTACCTAGCTGCTAGAGGAGTTCCCTAAATTCATCATATATGCATTACTGAGCTCATCCTACACTTTAGAGCAAAGAGTGACACGCACCTTGAATAGCAAATCAAAGTGCAAGCAATAACCGTAGTAATGAGTAAAAGTTCCAAGTGTAATAATGCATGTCAAGCCAAAATGATGGACAAAGGTAAAATTAGAGGCTAAGGGCCTGTTCTCTTACGTTGAAATTCAATTCAATTCAATTCAGTTCAGTTCAGTTCAGCTCCTAATTTCCTTGTCTTATAAAATATTCATTTCAGTTCAGTTCAGTTCAGTTCAGTTCAGCTGAGTTCGGTAAATGAGAACAGGCCCTAAGTATAGTAAAGAGAAAATAAAATTAGGGATAAAAGCATGAAACTAATAATAACGTAGGGCTCATTATTATTGAAGTAGTAAATAGATATAACATAGATGTGCATGCATGGTACGTAGCTAGTTAGCTAGCTAGGAAAGAAACTAACTAACAAATAATTAAAGCACGTACATACATGCATGCATGTTAATTATGATGAGTGAGCCATGCATACTAATTACGAACGAAAGTACGTAGAATTACATAGTTCCAAAATTAGCACCAACAGATGCGAAGTTTTTGCCAGGGAGGATGTTAGCACTGCAGGTGGTCTTGGTAATTGGTTCCATGAAGCTCGAGAAAGTGGATGATACGTCGAGAGAAGCTTCGATTTGGTTCCAATTAATATTCTGGAAATCAGTGGCATCGCCACATTTGACGTAAACCTTGTTAGGATTGTTGGTGGTGGGAAATTTGGGAGCAGACCAAGCCAATAGCCATGCACAACTTTTAGCAGTACTGTTGTTGCCCAAGTACACTACGGCTCCCTTGGATCCATCGTTATCTGTCGCCGAATGAGTAAAGCTGTCGCCTTTGCTGACATCAATGACCGAAGGATATTCACCAGTCATCACTTCCCCATGCCAATCCTGATTCATTGAAAAATTAACCCTTCCAGGGGTGGAGTTCATCATCGAGACGACTGCACTGTTTTGTTGTTGACTATTGGCCGCTGCACCATTGTTCTGTTTCATCCCAATGTTTTTCGCCACCTCTACCATCTTCTCCACAATCTCTTTGTCTTGTGCATTCATCACAACTGTTTCTTGTGCTGAGGCCATTTTTTTCCTTCAGTACCTATAACAAATTTTAACTGCAAATTAGTAATTCAGTTTAACCCGATATATATATATATATATAGATGACTTGCTTTAATATATTTGATAACAAATATAAATGCATACTATATATATGAAGACTCTTCTATGTATATGATATACATGACATTACCTTGATCGGAAGTTCGGATGTTGGTTATTTGTATGCTAGAGATCAGAAGCTTGTGTGTTGCACTGCGCCAATTACCTACCCATCCTTTGCATATTTATACACAAATCCTTACCTTATACATACTTGTTGTACTCCTATTAGCTTCTTCATAACCGTAGTGTATTGAATTCGATCTCTACTTTAGAAATTCACGCACTATTTTTGCATATATTCTCCACTTTAAATTGTCTACCTAGCCTTATTATTTACTTTTGCATATATTCTCTCTTATCATTAATGTGATGATAGATAGGTATATTGTTATCATCTCATTTGGTCCCATATGAATATCAATACTTGTAACTTTGGAAGGTCCACATTTTTTCAAACCAATGCAAGGATATAACTTATATGAGGGATGGGCGGAGAAATTGAGCTGAGGGATATAGCTGGTTAGAGCTTTTCTTCCAGTTTCAAATGATCCTAAGATCGATATTGACATATATATGTAAATGTTATGGCTAAATTTCATGTGGATCTTATGTTTTGTTATGAGATTGTTTCATTATTGGTTCAAAATAATATGGGGTTGTTAAAGTTATAAAGTACAAAATTTTCAAATAAAATCATATGAATCAAATAAACATCCTCCTTACGACTAAAAGATATGTTAGATAAAAACCTTTTAATAAGACTGCATTTTCTAGCTAGGGATATAAGAGTGGGATTTTCCATAATGTAAATATTGATATTAAAAGTAATTTAACATTACAATTGAAGTTGTTTAAAAAAAATTACAATTAAAGCGGCATAATCTAGTTCTTCATTACCGAATAAGAATTTTAAGAGAAGTAGTCAAAATAATGACACAATGTTATTCCTTTGTTTTGTGTATGATATTGTTTACCTCAAATTGAAATGATGATGTTAATTACTACTTACTGATAAAGTGATTATGAGTTGATGACATGCATTTCGTATTTTAAGAGAATAATAGCACTGCAATTTTCATTTTGTTTTGTCTACGAGAAGACAGGTACAATGAACATGTTTAAGCTAGACATGTAAAATTTGGTAAAACAGGACTAAACTTATTAGGGCCGTGATTAATAGCAATTGTAGCTTAAATTGGTCCATAGTTTTTGTGTATGTTATTAATCAAATAATGAAATAATCACCCAACCTTCCAGCAGTATATTAACTCTGTAGAGTTCTAGCTGAAATCTAATCTTTAGTAGTCCTCATCACCAAGTGTTCGAATCGAAGGTATCATGATCTTACTCTGGAGTCAATGAATGATGCTAACATTGTAAAGAATGCAAAATTCGAATAATACGTTACTAAAAATCTCGGATTAGTTACTGTAATAGTTGCAATTGCAAAATTTACAGGAAGAATTATTGAAGAAGATTGATTTTGATTTAATATATGTATGATCCTTAAATCATGGATATAAATTTATCAAAACTGAATATAATGGCCTGTTTTTCTCTTTAAAGTTGTGAATTAAGTTCTAATCCGAGATGTTTTTCTCTTTAAAATGTGGTGAGAATGATATGATTAGTATTCTTATTTTTCATGCTTAGGTTTTATCTTGTTTGAAATGAGTTGAATGAGTCTATTGACTTTGTGGCTATGATGCGAGCGTGTAGTATCATCAAAAATTGGGAGGAAGTGAGATGTGGATACTATGTCGTGTACTATATGTTTGAAACAGTTCAACATCACCGTAGTAATGAGGATCTTGTTAGTATGTGTTGTCAGATCTTTCACTACTAATTCATCAATTTATTTTAAATTGGCTACACTCTTGAATTGATTAGTTTTTGTTTTTGTGTCGTGTTAACAGGATTTTTGAAGAACAATACCTTATAATGGGGAGGAGATAAATGAGGTTCGAGATATTTAGTCAAACTATTTCATGATCAATGTTGAAATTTAGATTTAAACTTAGCTAAATCCATTTGTTTGTTAGACTTTTTTTTGTTTTAGTTCTTAGGCTTGAAATGAATGTATTTGGGGTACCAACATTTTGGGTTGGTCTTTGTTCTTGTGTTGGTTGATGATATCAATAATTTTGAGTTGTAAAATTTTGAGACTCTGCTGAAATTTACATTTAAATTCAATAATATTGCATTTTAATTTCAATTATTAGCGTTAGCATATTACTTTATACCACTAGCAAGGAAAACAGGTACTACAAACATATACAAGGCAATTATTATAATTTTAAAAAAAAAATTCACCTCATTTGCGTCACTCATTAAACAAACAAGTGATGCAAATACAACAATTTTGTATTGTCTACTCAGTCATTTGCGTCACTCCTATATAAATAAGTGACGCAAATAACAAATAAGAAGTTTATCAGAAGAGTCATTTGCGTCGCTCTTAATAAAGGAGTGACGCAAATAATAAAAAAGAAGTTTATCAGAAGAGTTATTTGCGTCGCTCCTTTATAAAGAAGTGACGCAAATAAGAGTCATTTGCGTCGCACTTTTATAAAGGAGTGACGCAAATAACAAAAAACAAGTTTATTAGAAGAGTTATTTGCGTCGCTCCTTTATAAAGGAGCGACGCAAATGACTCTTATTTGCGTCGCGCCTAGGAGCGACGCATATGACTTTTAAGTCATTTAAGTCGCGAGCAGTTGCGTCGCTCATAGAAGCGACGCAAATACACTATAAATGAGCGACGCAAATAAGCCTTTTTCTACTAGTGATTTAATGACGTTTGGAACCATAGATAACCATTATATGTTTTCATAAATGCCCGTGATAGGCTTGAGTTCAAGAAATCGGTGAATGTTTAGAACAGGCTAATTGAGCGTTTTAAGACAAATTAGATGGTTCCACCCACCCAATTGGACTCCTGGAGGGTATTGGGGACTATGGTAAACTTCTCGACAATTTTTATTTCCAAGAAAATAAAGGTCAAAAAATTTCAAAATTATTGAAGGTTATTATCCACGCATTTTAAGGAATTTTTGACGTTACGGGGTCCAGTGGCGAAAAGTCTTGAGACCCTAAAGGATACAGTTTAGGTTAATATAATGACGTTTGGAGCCATATATAACCATTAGATTTTGTTATAAATGTCCGTGGTAGGCTTGAGTTTACGAAATCGGTGCAAGTTTCGAATAGACAAATTGAGTGTTATAAGGCAAATTAGATGGTTCCACCCACCCAATTTGACTTCCGTAGGGTATTATGTACCATGGTAAACATCTCGGAAATTTTTCTTTATGGGAAAAAAAAAGGTCAAAAAATTCCAAAATTGAAGGCTATTATCCATGTTTTTTGAGGAATTTTTGACGTTACGGGTTCTGGTGGAGAAAAATCTTGAGACCCTAGGGGATGCATTTTAGGGTCATATAATGACGTTTGGAATCATATATGTCCATTATATGTAGTCATAAATGTCCGTTGTAGGCTTGAGTTCACGAATTCGGTGCAAATTTTAAACAGGCAAATTGAGTGTTTTTAGGCAAATTAGATGGTTTCACCCACTCAATTGGACTCCTGGAGGGTATTAGGTATCATGGTAAACATCTCGAAAAATTTTATTTTCGGGCAAAAAATGGTCAAAATATTTCAAAATTGAAGACTATTATCCACGCTTTTTGAGGAATTTTTGACGTTATGTGGTCCAGTGGAGAAAAGTCTTGAAACCATAAAGGATACATTTTAGGGTCATTTAATGACGTTTGGAACCATAGATAACCATTATATGTTTTCATAAATGTCCGCGATAGGCTTGAGTTCACGAAATCGGTGAGTGTTTAAAACAGGCTAATTGAGCGTTTTAAGGAAAATTAGAAGGTTCCACCCACCCAATTGGACTCCTGGAGGGTATTGGGGACTATGGTAAATTTATCGGCAATTTTTATATCCGAGCAAATAAAGGTCAAGCATTTACAAAATTGAAGGCTATTATCCACGCATTTTAAGTAATTTTTGACGTTACGGGGTTCGGTGGAGAAAAGTCTTGAGACCCTAAAGGATATTTTTTAGGGTAATATAATGACGTTTGGATCCATATATAACCATTATATGTTGTTAAAAATTTTTGTGGTAGACTTGAGTTTACGAAATAGGTGCAAGTTTCGAATGGACAAATTGAGTGTTATAAGGCAAATTAGATGGTTTCATGATAACTTGCTATTTGATATGATTTTAGGGTGTTTTGAACCTAGTTTACTTGATAAAATTTGCGTTTTGGTTCATTTTTACTGTATTATTATGCAATTTTTGTGTATCCTATGCTTCACGGGTTGTTGGTGTTTTTGTTGAGATTATAGGTTCAAAAAAAACGACCAAATGGAGCCCATGGATACAAAGCCGAGGTTAGAAGCAAGAAGATGGTTAAAAGAAGCCAAGGAAAGGAGCAATATAGAAGAAAAGATGGAAAAAAGAGCTTAAAAGACCCTGCACGGCCGTGCCAGACCTTGCACGTCCGTGCAGGAGGTTCCAGAAAGTTTCAACAAGCTGCCAAGGCCTGCACGGCCGTGCTTAATTTTGTACATTATGGAAAATCCCACTCTTATATTCCTAACTAGAAAATGCAGTCTTATTAAAAGGTTTTTATCTAACATATCTTTTAGTCGTAAGGAGGATGTTTATTTGATTCATATGATTTTATTTGAAAATTTTGTACTTTATAACTTTAACAACCCCATATTATTTTGAACCAATAATGAAACAATCTCATAACAAAACATAAGATCCACATGAAATTTAGCCATAACATTTACATATATATGTCAATATCGATCTTAGGATCATTTGAAACTGGAAGAAAAGCTCTAACCAGCTATATCCCTCAGCTCAATTTCTCCGCCCATCCCTCATATAAGTTATATCCTTGCATTGGTTTGAAAAAATGTGGACCTTCCAAAGTTACAAGTATTGATATTCATATGGGACCAAATGAGATGATAACAATATACCTATCTATCATCACATTAATGATAAGAGAGAATATATGCAAAAGTAAATAATAAGGCTAGGTAGACAATTTAAAGTGGAGAATATATGCAAAAATAGTGCGTGAATTTCTAAAGTAGAGATCGAATTCAATACACTACGGTTATGAAGAAGCTAATAGGAGTACAACAAGTATGTATAAGGTAAGGATTTGTGTATAAATATGCAAAGGATGGGTAGGTAATTGGCGCAGT